TGCTGGAGTACTAGTGCTGATATCATGTCTACCATCCTCTTAAAATACTCTGTCCAACAGTATAAGTCTCATGAAGAAAGGTGTTTTAACGCTTATTCAAAATAGCAGAGAAACATGCATTCTTGTACTCAGGAGGGGACATTGACAGAGGATTACTCAAAAAGTACACAGTAAAAGTTGTGTGGGAGTTTCACTAGTACTGGGTCCAACAGTGTCAATCTCACGAAGAACTAATGGCAAAAAAAAAGATTCCCTCATCAAACTTAGCAGAAGTGGCTTGATTTTGTTCTCAGGAGGGGACTTTGACAGAGGATTTCAACAACAACAAAAACACACTAGAAGTAGGCTACTTCATTGTATTGTGGTAGTAGGTGTAACGGAGCGTCCACACAGCAGCGTGCGTTGACGCTTGGAGGTGGGCGTATCTGAAGCTTGGGGATTTTTTGCGAGCAACGCGACCAACAACCAATCACATGAATCTCCCGCCCCCGACATACAAAGCAATAGCAATGTTAAAACGAAGTAAACTGGATATAAAATCCCCAAACAGGCGAAAACCTACCAGTTTCACCCACTGTCTCTGCCACCTCCCTCCATGCCTCGCTCCTCCGGTTTGTATCCCGGTAGATCAACAGAGACTGATCATACAGCACCGGGTGATTCACTACCGCTATAATGAATTTTCCCTCAATTTTTTTGAATATGAGGAAATGACCTGCGTAGTCTCTCCCAGCATACACGCGGTTTGATTGGCTAGCGATTGTACTGGCAGATTTGAATAAACGGGATTTCATTGGCTGACGCCTCCGTCGAGGCGTCAAAAGTTGAACATTGCTCAACTTTTGACGCCAGCTACGCCAGCAACGCTCCACGTCGCTTCCCAAAATGCAGTTCGGCTAAAAGTGACGTCACCCCATTCAAAGTGAATGGGCAGAAGCGTTGGAAGCTTCAATGCACGCCGCTGTGTGGACGGGCCGTAACGGAGCGTCCACACAGCAGCGTGCGTTGACGCTTGGAGGTGGGCGTATCTGAAGCTTGGGGATTTTTTGCGAGCAACACGACCAACAACCAATCACATGAATCTCCCGCCCCCGACATACAAAGCAATAGCAATGTTAAAACGAAGTAAACTGGATATAAATCCCCAAACAGGCGAAAACCTACCAGTTTCACCCACTGTCTCTGCCACCTCCCTCCATGCCTCGCTCCTCCGGTTTGTATCCCGGTAGATGAACAGAGACTGATCATACAGCACCGGGTGATTCACTACCGCTACAATGAATTTTCCCTCAATTTGTTTGAATATGAGGAAATGACCTGCGCAGTCTCTCCCAGCATACACGCGGTTTGATTGGCTAGCGATTGTACTGGCAGATTTGAATAAACGGGATTTCATTGGCTGCCGCCTCCGTCGAGGCGTCAAAAGTTGAACATTGCTCAACTTTTGACGCCAGCTACGCCAGCAACGCTCCACGTCGCTTCCCAAAATGCAGTTCGGCTAAAAGTGACGTCACCCCATTCAAAGTGAATGGGCAGAAGCGTTGGAAGCTTCAACGCACGCCGCTGTGTGGACGGGCCGTAACGGAGCGTCCACACAGCAGCGTGCGTTGACGCTTGGAGGTGGGCGTATCTGAAGCTTGGGGATTTTTTGCGAGCAACGCGACCAACAACCAATCACATGAATCTCCTGCCCCCGACATACAAAGCAATAGCAATGTTAAAACGAAGTAAACTGGATATAAAATCCCCAAACAGGCGAAAACCTACCAGTTTCACCCACTGTCTCTGCCACCTCCCTCCATGCCTCGCTCCTCCGGTTTGTATCCCGGTAGATCAACAGAGACTGATCATACAGCACCGGGTGATTCACTACCGCTATAATGAATTTTCCCTCCATTTTTTTGAATATGAGGAAATGACCTGCGTAGTCTCTCCCAGCATACACGCGGTTTGATTGGCTAGTGCTTGTACTGGCAGATTTGCATAAACGGGATTTCATTGGCTGACGCCTCCGTCGAGGCGTCAAAAGTTGAACATTGCTCAACTTTTGACGCCAGCTACGCCAGCAACGCTCCACGTCGCTTCCCAAAATGCAGTTCGGCTAAAAGTGACGTCACCCCATTCAAAGTGAATGGGCAGAAGCGTTGGAAGCTTCAACGGCCGCTGTGTGGACGGGCCGTAAGACTACTGAGTCCAGCAGTATCAATATCATTAAGAACTAATGGTAAAATTGTTTTTTTATCACTCATCAAAGACAACAGAAAACATGCAGTGTACTCAGGAGGGGACTTTGACAGAGGATTACTAAAAAGGTACACAGTAAAAGTAATTCATTTTATTTTTGGTAGCAGTCAAACTAGTACAGAGTCCAACAGTGTCCGTTTTATTAAGAACTTGCAGTAAAAATATTTGTAAAAACAAATTGAAGAGCAGCTGATTTGAAAAAACAAACTTGAGAGGCGGCGGAGTGACCAGTGCAGAACCGCTGTATAGTTTAAATCTCCTAACAATGTTGTCCATTTTAGACATAGACTTATTATATTTACAGCCCTTAATAACATTACTTTTCTGGGCTCAATGTGTGTCTTGGCCGTTTTCGTTGTGATCGCTAAATTCCCCTTGTTTCCCCTTGTTTATAATATCACCGTTCCAAGCAAACGAGTACTTTTGTTTTGAAATCACTTCCGCGAGTTTTGCGCCCCTCGCTCCAATGACCATTAGACCAGTAAGGTAAAAAGCAAAAACGCCTCTAAGACGCTCTTCCGTTTACTTGTTTAATAAAGAAAAACAAATGGTCCAAAGAAGAGGATTCATCTCCCTCCATCATGATGATTTGAATCAGAAGTTCTGAACATGAGCCCGCCCCGCTCGACATTCTGAACCAATCACAGCGCGATAATGACCTGCCTTCCGTTTCAACCATACTCCTTCCGTTTCTACTATACTTTCTCTCACACATACATGCATTCTTCTCTTGCATACATATATTGTCTTCAGACATGCATATATTATTTATAATATTAAATGAATGAGCATGAGAGCAAAATGTATAAATATGAGCGTTAACATATATGAATATGAGAGCAAAATGTACACTATGTGTGAGTGTAAAATGTACCTGTGTAAGAGTGAAAATATATGTATGTAAAGGGAGAATGTATGTGCGTGAGAGGACCAGCATAAATTACAGCCTGTACGGCCCCTCATAATAAAGCTCACAAAAACAGACGCAAACACACACATACAAACACACACATACACAAACATCCAGACACCAAATACAAACACATCCAGACACACATACACCACCAAATAACCATCTGTGAGAGAGCTATCTGATAAATGTGTTTAGTGTTAAAAATACTTTAATCTTCACAGACAGCACTGCCCTACACACACACACACACACACACACACACACACACACACACACACACACACACACACATCAATATGGTTAGGTCTTCCTGAATCTTTTCCGATAAATATAAGAATATCTGGGTTATTGATCCGGCTGTGTGACTTCAGCGTAATGACTCTACAGAGGCCATGAGCCACACACGGCTAACAAGACGTAGATGGTGTTACATGTATAATAAGGTGACAGCTTACACCAAACAAACTCAATATCATAAATATATTTATTTATAGTAAAAAATGTACAGAGATTAGAAACTAAAAGAGCTTCTTTGCTGATATGTTTAAAGACAAATAATATGTAAACAGCAGTCAAATGAACGTTTATTAGACCATAGTCCACTGGATGTCCAGAAGAGAAAGTGATGGAGCTTGAAGTAGTGTATTTTAAGTTATTCTACTTGATCAAGACAAACTGTAAACATTATGTTCAGCAGATAGAGTATAATGTCAAATATGCTTGTTATGCTAAATGTTGCAAAGCAAGCGCCTGTATCAAAGAACTGGAGTGTTTAAACCTGGTGACCTACTTTAACTAAATGTAACAGACATAAGACAAGCCTGACATCTCTACTGCATGACCAATTTCACAATTTTAGGAGATCATTTAGGAGATTACTTAGGAGATCACTTAGGAGATCATTTAGGAGATCATTTAGGAGATTACTTAGGAGATCATTTAGGAGATTACGACAACACTTCCAGAAAAGCTGGAATGTCTTTCCAGTTTAAAATCCAAAATGTACATCCAGGGAGGTTAGTCCAAAAGCACATGTCTGAAGAAAAAACGACAGTTGATCTTCCTGTGTGTTACAGCAGGCTGGAGAAGGTGACAGTCCTGAGCTAATTCATTCATGACATGTCTATTGAGCCATGCCAGACCACGCTAAGTCAAATTAAGACCAGTGCCAGGCTACAGACTCTGGTTTAGACCACAGTCTGCACTGCAATCTGTGAAAACTGTCAATATTTGTTAAATAAATGGATACCATTCCCTTTATACTACAAACACATGCACCATGGGCTATATACTGACAGTTGGATCAAAAAGCAAAAAGGACACAATTATCTAAATCAATCAGCAATACAAACTAATACTATACAATACTACTAACAATAGGCATCCACTGAAAAAGTGAAACGTTGACTTTAATTAAATGTATAATGTCTACAGATTTCTGTATTAGGTTAGTTGAGAGCAATACTTTTGAGTTGAACCTAATCATTGTTATTCAAACTAAATATTATTGCTTTCATCTCAGCCTGATGTCTAACAGATTTAACAGTGGAGTGTGAGCTGAGTAGGGGGGATTCAAACCCACGATAACGTACACTTGATACCGTCTGTTTGATCCACAGGGATACAGCTCTGTCTCAACAACCAGTGTCTTTGTGAGCCTCTGAAGAACACAAATACACATCTAGTATTTCTTTACAAAGTTGTTATTTCCCACAGTTTAAAACTCCTGACTTTATCTAAATGTTATCTAAAAATGTAACATTACATTTTTGCTTAAAAGCTGGCTAAACTCTTCTGCCCTTCCACAAACACACACACTCAGTGCTCAGACACACACTCATACCTCTGTCAGTGCAGCGTCCAGGTGAACAGCAGAGCAGTGTGTTCAGTGTGTTGTGTCTCCATCCCCATCAATCCTTCAGCATCCAGGAAGCAAAGGACAAACAGCACACAAAGACTGAGCGTCTGTCAGTCAAGTCCAGCTCCAGACACAGAACATGTAACAACTGGAAACACTATGCTCTCTCCATCCATTTCCCTCTTCCTCACTACCCCTTTCTCTGCCTCTCTTGGCTCTCACTGTTTCAGTCCGTACACTCTCTCTCACACACACTGATTCTCCATCTGTCACCGCCTCCTCTGCTTCACCCCTCCCACCTCATGAATTATTAATGAGCCCCAGACACACACACACGCTCCACTGCTGTCAAACACACTCACACACTCACACGTTACAAGCTGTGCGCTACTGTCCCACACACAGATGCAAGTCAGATACTGAGAGTAACCTTTGCCCCGCCCACACGCCTGAGTGACGTCACAGAAGAAAAGTGGAGTTATTTGCAGCTTTGTAAGAAGTTCTTACAGTAGATCTTATACTTAAAAACTGAAACAGTGACTTTAATCAAATGTATTATGTCAACACATTTTAAGTTTAAATAAACACTAATTGGTTCAACTTCATACTATTGCTTTCAACTAACTTAATAGAGTTATGTGAAACCTGTAATTAAAGTTTAGTTTTTCAGTTTACAAAAGCAAAGGGACATATACTAAAAGTACTCATTATCGAAAGTGGCCACTACAATATTTGCTTTCAAAACAAAGTGGAGTAGAAGTATAAAGTAGCATGAAATGAAAAATACTGAAGTAAAGTACAATACCTCATAAATGTACTTAAGTACAGGACTTGAGCAAGTAAGTTGGAACACTGGTTAGTTGTTGGACTCGACCAGGAAGTGTAATGACAATCTAAAGGATATTATGACTAATATTCTTAAACAAAACATAGAACCACAACAAATATGTTCGTATGATTTCTAATATAAGAGAAACAAACAACCAATCAGAGCTGACAGTGTCATCATAAAGTATTCAGACCCCTCACAGTTTTCACTTTGTTGATGTAATGCCTAAAGGGCCTCAGTCAACACTTAACACTCCATAATGATAAACCCAACACCAGACGTTCTGCCCTCATTCATTAAAAATAAAGAACTGAAGCTGTGTTAAAGTATTAATACTACACTGTACAAATACTCTGATAGAAGTACAAGTCCTGCATTTAAAACTTAATTAAGTAAAAGTACAGAAGTATTGGCATCAAAATATACTTTAAGTACCAAAAGTACTTATTGTGCGTAAATTATTGTCCCATTTTAGAATCATTTATATGAATTTACCAGATTATTTTTGTTGATGCATTAATGTGTTAATCACAGAGTGAAGGTGGAGCTACTCTTCATTACTTTATATACTGTTGCTGGATATCTTAACTTATATCTCATAGTGTATTTATCAGTTTTATTCTGCTTTATCTAATATTCTGAATCTGTAAAGTAACCAGTAACTAATGATCTCAGATAAAGGTAGTGGAGTAAAAAGTAAAATATTGGCTTCCAAATTGCAGTGGAGTAGAAGTAAAGTGTAGCATAAAATAAGAATATTCGAGTAAAGTACAAGTACCCTAAAATGGTACTTAAGTAAATACTTGATCAAATGTACTACACTACACAACACCACTGCTAATATGTCAATGTGTAAGTGTTGGAACTATCCTAGGTCTCCACCTGATGCCTGGTGCTGTATCACATCATTTCCTGGTAGCACAACATGTGTAGGTGTAGTATAATGTAGTGAAGCTAGTATTCAAGTTCTTCTGGCTACAGGCAAAATCACGATCAAATAAGAATTAGGTAGGAAGATGATCCTTTGGTTTGTTGATCACCAGAACATTTCTTAAAGGCACTAATGTGAAGAGAATGTTGGTGCTTTCATGTGAGGACTTTAATTAACATTTATGTTGCTTAAAAGTGAATCGTTTGACTAGATGTGCAGATCTGAAAATGGTAATGTGGACATAAATGAACAGTATGCATTCTCTTTGTGGTTTTCTGAGTGAAGACACAGATCTCAGTGGGTCTTTCTGATGAAATAAAATGATGCATCCCTCCCACTCTCCCCACATGTACATGTAACCTATAAAATCTCAAACACACACTTCTCAGCCATGCGTGATCTCATTCACACGTAGAACACACGCGGGTCACGAGAAGACAGGGCAGATCATGCATGAATACCGAGCATGCATGCACACACACTCTCACATCTCACACACACCAACATAGAGCTGTCCATGCAGGCAAGGAAACCCCCGCAGCTTCAGGCTATCTGCGTTTTCTCATGGACGAGACATGGCTGCAAGTCAGAAAACAATGTGTGTGTAAAACCAGGCAGACATACATGGAAACAGACAGTAATATAATGGTAAACACTATCCTATCAAATTAGACACACTTTGTAAAGGAATACACAACATGTTGATGTACACCTTTACCTGCTGTCTTAGTCGGAGAATAATCACATCTACATGAAGCTGTTCATCAAAGCAGAGTGCAAACCTGCCCCCCCATAAGGACCTTTAAGATGTTGCAGACCCTGAATCCAGCTGTCGATCAGGAAGCAGCAGAGAGATGTCACGTTGGCCTAGAGGAGCGTTTCTCAAAGTGTGGGGCGCGCCCCACTGGTGGGGCGCAGAGATGTGATAGGTGGGTCGCGAATGGATGCGATGAACGGGAGATTTCTTTTTTTTAAATACAATTTTTGGACCTCAGGCCGGAATCGAACCTGGGTCCTCGCGGGCGGTAGTGGACTGTTACAGCCGGAGACTCGCAACTGCGGTGGACTTTCACAGCGCCGGAGAGCCGCCGGAGAGCCGCCGGAGCCGCTGGATAGCCGCTGGATAGCCGCTGGATATCCGCTGGATAGCCGCTGGATAGCCGCTGGATAGCCGCTGGATAGCCGCTGGATAGCCGCTGGATAGCCGCTGGATAGCCGCTGGAGAGCCGCCGGAGAGCCGCTGGAGCCTCGCTACGGCGGGTGTTTGCGGCGGTACCGCACCCGCCGCCGCAGACACTCACCACTTCATAAGGAGTTTAACGGTGACACTTTTCGAAATCCCGTTTGTGTCCCCCCACTTTACAAATATGTTTATTATTATCTTTTCACTAGCAGGAACCACGCCACAACAGTGTGATGTTTGTAAGTGTATTGAAGTAACATGTGAATGATATGAGGGGGGTGAAGAGATGATCTGGGAGGATGAGCTGTGGTCCGTGCAGTGGGAGACTCAGAGTGGGGGTTCCGTCTCCGGCATGATCTGCGTGGGCTGATTACGGGCCCCCAGACAATACCTGGGATTTAAATGTTAGTATATACAGTATATAAATATGCACCGTTTAAATATAATGTTGACGGGCAGAGGATGTTGGGATGAAGGGATGAGGGATGGAGGGATGAAGGGATGTAGGGATGAGGGATGTAGGGATGAGGGATGTAGGGATGAGGGATGTTGGGATGAAGGGATGTAGGGATGAGGGATGTTGGGATGAGGGGGATGTGGGGATGAGGTGATGAGGGATGAGGGATGTTGGGATGAAAGGGAATGTAGGGATGAGGGATGTTGGATGATGGATGTGTGGTGAGGATGAGGATGTGGGATGAGGGATGTTGGGATAGGGAGTGGGGATGAAGGATGTAGGGATGATTGGATGTTGGGATGAGGGATTGTGGGGATGAAGGGATGAGGATGTTGGGATGAGGGATGTTGGGGATGAGGGATGTGGGGATGAGGGATGAGGGATGTTGGGATGAAGGATGTAGGATGAGCGGATTGGGATGAGGGTGTGGGGATGAAGGGATGTAGGGATGAGGGATGTTGGATGAGGGGATGTGGGGATGAGGGATGAGGGGATGAGGATGTTGGGATGAGGGATGTTGGGATGAGTATGTGGGGATGAGGGAATGAGGGATGTGGGTGAGGGATGTAGGGAAAGGATGGAGAACAAGCGGGTGGCCGGCACGTTTTGCCGGATCTCAATAGGGGTGGCCGTGGTTCGAGGTGGAGTTTTAGGCGTGGCCATGCTCCTGAACCTATGTTAACAATTTAACCTCATTTAACGCAAGCCGTCATCGCCACGGAGGAGGACACAGCCTCTGTGAGCGAGTGAGACAGAGAGAGAGAGAGAGAGAGAGAGGAGAGAGAGAGAGAGAGAGAGAGAGAGAGAGAGAGAGAGAGAGAGAGAGAGAGAGAGAGAGAGAGAGAGAGAGAGAGAGAGAGAGCACCTTTATCTACTTATTATATGTAAAAAATAAAGTAATAAATCATGCCAATGTGTACTATAGGAGAGTAAAAAAAAAATGTTTTAAAAGGGGAGTGATTAGTAAAATATGCATAAATAAAAAGAAAGAATGCTAACTAGGTAACATAAGATAAGAATAAACCAGTTTAAATGTTTGTTATTGGTTGTGATCATATTCTAAAGATATTTGGATTATTGAAAAGTATACAGCTCCCTTTCATCTGAGTGTTGAGAGCTGTATCTATAAATTCATTTTGCTCTCAAAGTGCACCAGGTTGATGCATTTCACTTTTACTTTAAAATCTTCCCGGGGGTGCTTGCCCCCCGGACCCCCTAGGAGGTGAGGACCCCCCTAGAGGAGGTGAGGACCCCCTGAGAGGAGGTGAGGACCCCCCTAGAGGAGGTGAGGTCCACCCCCAAATAAAGCAGGTTAATATAATTAAATTGCATACATGTTATTTTAGTAAACACTGAAAATGGGTCCCACAGACCCAAACAACACACAAAGGTTAAAGGTCAGCATATAATAATGTTCAAATGTGCTAAATATATACACTGCAAAAAACAAAAAAAGAGGAGTAAAAGTAGCTCACGACTTGTTTTATTTTTTGAAAATAGCTCTCATCCTAAAAAAGGTTGGAGACCCCTGTTATAGAATGATACATTTGACAATTTTAAGCTTGGCCTACCATTTTATTGGAGCGATGAGGAACAGGTGGGGCTGTCCAAGACGCAGGAGCCGTGAGGCGACACAACAGTCGTGTTCTGTCGGAACGTGTTCTTTGGTGTCAGTTTGGTGTGTCGGGGCCTTCACACGAAAACGGCTATGTAATGTTAATATGCCCGCCCTCCTTTAAACAGACATCAAGACAATCAATCAATTCTGTTTAGGAACTGTCTCAGTTAATCCTAAATCTGAAAAAAGTTACAGATGAGAGAGGAAGTGCAGAAAGAGCAAG